CTCAAACCTACCCTCGCGCCTAATTTATAGAGCCCCTGGGGCTAATCGCTATTTTTTGATATGTTATCTTAGGCAACGCGTGAAAACCGTTGCCTATGTTTCTTTTGTTTCAGGAAAATAAAAACCACGTGAGGAAGACGATAATGTGGGGAGCGGTGATTGGAAGATTCAAATCTTCGCGCGTGCTAGAGCCCACTGACCATTGTTATTTTATAGTATTTGTTTGTTGTTTAAATTACAGAAAGCGCGTCTAGAACAACTGGCAAGGCATGTGTGTGTTAACGTCTAAGACCTGGGTTCGAGCCCCAGGTCTTCATTGTTTCAATATTATTTTTCAATTTACAATCACATGCAGATTCAATACCAAGGACCATCATACTCCTTCCAAATCCAACGTCCACGCGTCCAGCTTCATCAGATCAAAGGCCATGGATTGAAGTATACGATAAGTCCCAGTCAATGCATCACATGCTAATGCCAAAGTCAAATGGACCAATGTCTTAATGGGCCTGAATTTCTAAAGAATCACCTCCTATTTGGGGTCTGAACCCCCTAGGTTTGCTATTTTTTTTATTTATTTATTAATTCTATTTTTCTTTTAACTATTATTTGTTTAGTTAATTAATTATTTTCACAAAATATAAAATATCATAAAAAATCAGAAAAGAGTTAAAACAATAAATAATTTTTATTTTAGTATTTTCTTAAATAAATTTGCATGTAATTAAACTTAGTGTAAATTAGGTTTTAATTTTAATACTTTTAATAAAAATCTAAAAAATGTAGAATTAGGTTTAATTAATTTTCATCTTTTTTATTTTTCTTTCATGATAATCAAATATCTAATATTATTTATTTTATTTATTTTTATAATTAAATTGCATGTAAAAATTAGGATTAATTTTAGGTTAAAAACTTCAATATTTTTTAATAAATTAAAAGCCACTAGAATTAGGGTTTACATCTTATTTTAATTTTAGTTAATTCTTTCTTTTTATATATTAAATCCTAGAACATTAAAAAATACCAAAAAAACAAGTTCTTTCTTTCTTTTAATTTTAATTAATTCCTCATTACTTTAACTTTGCAAAAAGGGTCCAACGCCCTCATTTCGACTTAATTGTTTATTCACATATTTATTTTATTTCGTTTAAATATTTATGTATCTCTCCCGAAGCCTTGTAAATAATTGCTCGCACTCTTTAATTCTTTACCTTTATTTATTTATTTTCTGTCAAATCGGGTTCGAGAAACTTTTGGCGATGTGGACCCGCGCCATTTGTAATAGCTTAGAATTTACTTTTCTCGCAACTTTTTAACTGTTAATCAAAGGCATAAAAGACTGTATGGACAAAATAAAAATAAGCGTAGAACACCAATAACATGACGAGATAAATGAAAATGAAAACGACACACGAATCGCACACACCACCCCTAGGGTACGCCTCACTGTTGCCTTGCCTCGAAAGGTGATCGTCGAGTAGAGGATGTCTTAGTAAGTCCTCATGATCCGGGAACCTGGCATGAGGGTAGCTTCTAAGGTGTCTTCCTATTGCTCCGGTGATCACCATGTCCCGAACCTCGAATTGACCCGAACACCTCCAACGGTGGTGCTACCTACCTCTCAATGGTGGGATGGCACTACTTTAAAGGACATTTACACAGACGAATTCCTTAGGGTAGGTAGACGACTCTAGATACTTGCTCTAAATTTCAAAACAAATTCAAAAATACTTTTCACACCGACACCTTTTCAAAAAGCTTTCGAAAGCAACTTTTCAAACACTCTTGAGGACCGATACAAGAGTCAAACTGGAATTTTCAAAGAAACTTTTTAAAACCCACAGTTGAAAAGCAAACAAACCATTTTTGAAAACACAAGTGAGCAAGTATCTAAGAGCCCATGGATAACCATGGATAGAAAGGGTGCTAACACCTTCCCTTTCTATAAATCTACCTCCCGAACCGAGAAATTATCTCATAAGAAATTTTGCTGTGCTTTTGTCCTGTCCATGTTGGAGAAAATAAAAGACGGTGGCGACTCTTGCTTCCGCGACATTTCGCGAACCAGCGTTAAACAGTCAGTTCCAGACCCACCGATCACACATGGTCATTGAGTATAGGAAGTTTTAGAGGTCGTCCTCTTGTCCAAAGATCATAAGTTTCCTCGAAACGGTTGCCTCGGATAAAAATGATCTAAGACATTAGGGTTACCGCTAAGGCGTCCTAACATTGCTTTAGTGACCACATGCCCCTTAATCGAATTGACCCGAAAGCTCCAATGATGGTGCTACCTACTCCTCAATAGTGGGATAACATTATCTAAAGCACATTTGCACAGATTAATTCCTTTTTCGAGTAGGTAGATGGTTCTTAAGTACTTGCTCCTTTTAAAACAAAACAAAACTTTTCGCACTTACACACCTTTCAAACAAAAATTTCTTTCAAACCCACAAACACAAAGAAAAGCAAATTTTGAAAACATAATGAGCAAGTACCTAAGAGCCCGTGGATAACCACGGATAGAAAGGGTGTTAACACCTTCCCTTTCTATAATCTACCTCCCGAACCCGAGAAACATCTCGAAAAAAGAATTTTTCTGTGCTTTTTTCCTTTCCTTGTTGGATAAAATAAAAGACGGTGGCGACTCTTGCTTACCGCGACATTTTGCGAAAAAAAACGCAAAACACGAACCAGCATTCCAAAAACAGTCAGTTCTCTTTCCCACCGATCACAACCACCCTTTCTTCCATTTTCAGCATATAATCGAAAGTGGAATTTTGGGGGGGGGGCATCAGTTATCCTGGAAATTCCAGTTGGATGATTCGATAGGGAATTATAGCAACCACATTTAAAAATAACAGTATGAAGAGACATAGTTTTCGACACACTAGTCACGCAGACTATGAAGGTTCGACTGGCGTGCTAGGCTTGGTTTAGAAGAGTCTCAAGAATAAATCAACAAGATTAGGATCACTCTCTCTTCAAAATATGTCCATAATCCTGAAAAGGGTGTACACAAATCAATCCTTCGATAAAGCACTGAGGTTGACAGTTCATCAGATGTCGAGGACTTACCGTATTCTTTAGTCTAAGAATCACTTTGACCAAGGATGTCTCGACAACACTATAGAAGCAAATCAAAGACTCTCGATAGAGGTAGTTAGGGGGTTTCAAAGGAAGTTATCAAAGAGATAGTTGGTTTGCAATAGTTTAAACATTAGAGACGTGTGGATGTAAGATAGAGTCTAAAGCGCACGTAAGAGGATACATGCCAGGTTCTATAAAGTTAAATGTTGTCGATGATTAAACATTGTATTAGTATATAACTTGATCTCATTGTTGTGATCAGAGGTCACAAAATTCATCAAGCATTCTCTATAGAACTAAAGTATCCAAGTCACATAGAGAAACAATTTGTCAAAGAATGTATGTGTCTGCGTCCTTTCTTTTATTTCTTTAAGTCTTTTGTATTACAGTCACAAACATTTTTAGTTGTGTTTTTCTGCACAAATTGTATTGAGACTTTTGAAACTTAATCTCTTAAGTGAACCAAACTCATGATTGTTTGCTAAAAACACTAGTAAACAACAATATAATTGCTTTAGATAATACAAAACTCAAGTTAAGGTTTAAATTGATACTCGTTGAATAGCAAGCTTGATTTGAAACTCTATCAAGTTTCATGCATTGTTCGTGTTTGTGTGGGTGTGTTATGACTGGATGCGACTTGGTAGTACTGCCTAAATTTATGTATTTTTTTTATAAATTGTATATTTTTTGCGCGCAATTGAAAATACTAATTTCCCAAGTCAGAAGGATCTCAATGGACAATAAAGATCTCCCTCAAGAGAATTTAACACTATTAAGTATCTGATATTTAATTCAAACTCAAGATTGTGATAAAGTTGGAGGAAATCTTTTATCATCTCACTCAGGTGTTTTTTAGTCTAAATTTATGTATATAACAACAAAGACTTTTAATTTTAGTTTAGGAATAAAATCATTAAATTTTTTTAGTTTTTAAACCCGTTCAAATTGTCGGAAATCACACCGAAAGTTGATTAATAATAGAGCTTGTATAATTAAAAATAAAGTGATACGATTATTTAATTTTGTATTATATTGATTTAAAAAGGGAAATTACATTAAACAATCGAATGAAGTAGGTGTTATGGTTAAAATTTTGTGTAGAGAAATATTTAATTACGTGTATTACTTTGAATTATTTATTTTACACTCGTATCTCACAATTTTTTTTGAATAAATTATGGTATCTTCTGCGTGTAACTACAAAGATTAATTTCTCAAATCATATATGATAGGCGATCAAACTCTTTCTCAAAAGATTTAACACGGCCGAATGTCCATGACACATTATTATTTTAAATCTTGATAACAAATAATCGATATATACACCTATTATTGATAATCAATTTGTTGTGTTGTCGACAAGTATAGGATACCAAGAAGAACATACAAAATATAAAATACTTAATCACATAAACCAACTTTTGAAAACAGCCGCAATATTGTGTTTAGGTAGAACGTGTTTCATATGTGCTACAGCCAAATAATGTCATGCAAAGTTGAAAACAGAACTACTTTTTCACCTCCAATGGGTTCATGCACCATTCCAATTTCCATGCTTACTTTTTTGTCACTAACCAGTACACGGATTCATTGTATATTTCCTTGCGTATTTGTACATCCACCATGACCAAAACTACGTATTTTTGTCTTTCTACTTTTATGATCACCAAACCAAACCGACACACTCACATTGAATTGTCAAAGAATCACCAATTATTTGCATGCAGTGCATTCCCGACTGACACATATGATTAGAATTCTTGTGTAGATTGTACATAAATTTTATTGTCAGCATTTGAAGTTGGTGATTCTGTTTAGCCTTATATGTGGTGCTTTTGCTTTAATTTAAATCTTGTTTTCTTCTAAAAGTATCATGACATAAACAACTTCTTAGCCTATAAACCAAACTAATGACCAGAAAACCCAAACCCAAACGGGTCGCCCAAGCCCGACAAAAACACATTTGGATTATGCTGATACAAATTGAAATTATCATTATCGGTAACCCGGTGAGTCCTCATGCCACTCTGAACCTCTTCTTCCGTGGGGTTCCTAAATCCCGCCGAGAAATCCATCTGCCCAAACGGCGGCGCTGAAGGGACACAAAAGTCACTACAGCTGTAATTCAACATCCCCTGTGTTTGGCTTCCGGAATCAAATTCGGGTATCGTGTCAAACTCCGTCGGGGTAACCCAATCAGAGAAAATTCCGGCACCCATGTTATTAAACCCGAACTTGTCTTCTTGCTGTAGCATTTTGAGTGATGTCACCCGTGGAAGCGCAAAGCTCTGGTCGTCAATTACCGGAAACGAGTCCGACATATCCTCCACATGGGAGGATGTGGAAGGCGATGAACCATTGCTGTATTCTTTCCCCGAAAACGATTGAACTTCCTTCTGCGAGCTTGAGTTCTTCTTGTATATGCGACATAAAACCCAATCATCCAACTGCATCATAATAACATCACATGAGTGAGATGCTTTTGAATATATCCATTTCAATATAATAAAGCTTATACAGAAATACAAGATAAAGAACAAACTGAGCCGCAATAATATAAAATAACACTAAAACAACAGGAATATATGATAGTGTTACATACTTTGGAGCTACCAAGGTTGTGTTTTCTTGAAGCGTCAAGAAGGCGATACTCATGCATAATCCAATTAGTTTTGGTGCCTTTTGGTGCTTTACCAATATAGAAAACAAGTGCTTTCTTTATGCCAACTTTTCTACCTTCAGTGGTGATGATTTTGTCCGTTCCAGTAGCTTTCCAGTAGCCTGACCCAGCAACTCTGTTTGGTCGTGAACCGTTTGGATATTTCCTGTCCCTTGGACTGAAGAAATACCACTCTTTCTCACCGAAATTCGCTTTGCCTGCAAAACTCTAAAACATTAATAAGCTGCTTCCCAAAAAAAGAAATAGTAAAATATTAACCAAAATAATTGTTGATGATTAATTACCTGGAAGAACCCATGGATCGAATTTGTATAAATCAATTTCAGCAATAATTGGCAAAGAAAAATGGTGTCCTGCAACTTTGCGACATAGGTACTGAACAAGAAGCTCTTCATCGGTAGGGAAGAATCTGAAACCAGGAGGTAAACTCAACTGTGAAAGAGGATCTTTATCTGGAACTCCCATTTTTTATGTTATAAAACAGACAACAATGAGGGAAGAAAAAACGTGTTTCTTTGTTAATTTTAAAATTTTGTTTTTCTTTCTTTTTCTTTTTCTAACCAAGACTTGGCGGTTATTTATATAGGCATAAAAAATGCATCGTGATCTTTGTTGTAGCACTTATGTGGGACCCACTTGAGTTTTGCGCCATTTAAGAAATGCCACGCTAACGGTTTAAAAAGATGATTATGCGGACAATCTTATCTTCTTACCGTACGGTCCGTGGCTTTTGACGGGTCCAATTCAATGTATATGGAACTGTTAGTAAAATTTAAAGCAAAATAGTAACATATAATTGGTCAAAAATAATTATTTCTTCTCTTTACACAAGACATCAATATATACTATTACTATTTTCTCTATTTCAAATTAACTATCATTTTAATAAATTTATTTATTTTAAAATAATTATTATTTTTATTTTTCAATTAATAATAATTACTATTTTTATAATTGTATTCTTTACTTTTTATTCTCTATTTTATAAAAAAATAATATTTTATAATAATGTACTAGTATTTTTTATTTTATGTGTAAAAATTTTAAATGATTGAAAAACTGAAATAATATTACAAATAATGATTGTAATACACTTCACAAGTCCTTTCATAGGATATTCCCTCGAACAAAACGTCTTTTTATAGGATTTACATGCATTTTGGATAAGTCTTACTATCAATTACTCATTTGTTTTAGGGGTACGGTTTCAGTGACTGTGCTGAACCATAAATTGGGTGACTTTAGTCACTTTTTAACACCAATAAATAATTAATATATATCATATTATTTGAAAAAATTAAATAATTAGAGTTATAAAAGTCACCTAAGAGTAAAGTTATCAAACCACCTCCTAAAAATTACAAAACCACACTTCAATCAAATCAAGGATAGTCATCAACTTTATTACATTTAATAAATTTTTGTTTGTATAGTTTATCAATTGTCAAATAAAACTCTTGCCACAAAATTAAGTTTTTTTTTAAAAAATATCTATTTGAAAATAAATATATTTAATAAGGTTTTTAAATTTTTTAAAAATTAATATGAAAAGAATCTACAATTTTAAATATTGATGGTAATGGGTGTTCTTTGTTGTTGGAACATACACAAAATAAATTGATGAATTAATGGTAAAGAGTGGTTAAATAGAGAAGATGAAGTTAGAGAAAACTTTTAGATTATGAGAGAGAGAGTAATTGAGGAGAAATTTTTTTATTATAACATTAACTTCAAATAAACATTACATGAGGTTGTATATAGGATATCACTAAAATACAAATTGAAACCAAATAAACCTATGAAAACATCAAAAACTCAAAAGATCGCGTTGGAAATCGATTTCCCAAAATAAGGGAATCAATTTCCTGAACTGAAAAAACAAATCCTAGAAAAACCCAGCTGTGGAAATCGATTATTCACTTTGTGGAAATCGATTTTCTCTTCGAAAATTCAAGATTTCATATTTTCAGGAGTGTTTCTCAAATAAGTTGTTTTCAACGAAACACTTTCTGAAACTTCCACAATGCATTGAAATTATTTTAAACTTCCAATACACCACCTTAATTCAAATGCTCCAAGTTTTTTATACCCAAACTCACCACAAGCTTCTTGAACACCACATTTGTTACACGTTTTATTAACAAATCCGCAAGTTGTTGTTCGCTTCGACAGTATCCTAACCTCAGGCGGCTTCCACACACTAGTTCCCTCAAGTAATGAAATCTCATTTCGATGTGCTTGCTTCTCCCGTGTGCTATGAGATTCCTTGCAAGATTAATGGCTGAAACATTGTCAACCGAGTGTGACAACTTTTTCAACCTTTTTACCTAGCTCTTTCAACAAATTCACAAGCCACAAATCCTGACACGCACACATCGATGCAACGATATACTCGGCCTCACAAGAAGAGAGTGCCACCATAGGTTCCTTTTTAGAACACCAAGAGATTAGAGCTCCGTAGAATATAAAGACATAACCAGCCGTAGACTTTTGATCATCCTTATCTCCGCACCAATTGGAATTCGTGTAACCGAGTAACTCGCATTTTATTCATGTATCAGCTGCAGAAAAGAGTATTCCACAACTAAGAGTTCTTTTGATGTATCTAAGGACCCTCTTAACTGCTTCCAAGTGAGACATATTTGGCCTCTCCATGAATCCACTTACAATACTGACACTAAATGCCAAAGTTGGTCGCGTATTGCACAAGTAACGTAATGATCCAATCAACCTCCTATATTGTGTTGAATCCACATTCTGCTCATCATCACTTTTGGACAGCTGCAACCTTGCTTCAACAGGTGTATTGGTAGCATTACTGTAATGGTAGAAATATTGAGACTAAGCATTAGATTGACTTGACTCGCACATATCAAATAAAAATTGCCACTGCGCTTTATTGTTTCTAGAGGAATGAAAAAAGAGAAAATAAACTCAAAAAGAGGGGGAGAGAATCTAGGTACGGGGTTGGTTATACAAAGGAAAGGTATTAGCACCCTAAACATCTACGGTATTCCGCAGGAACCTCTTTGAAAATTGTTTATTTTGATTATAAATGGTGTATACAAAAATAGATGGTGGAGATGAGAAAAGAAGTATTTTTTTACAATTTTGCGCCCATCGTGATTGCGAACCTTTAGTGCCTATGTACCATCTTTCGTACAATAGGGGATCAGGGTACTCGTAGTTCGTCTAAAAAATTTAAAACACATGTGTGTTGGTTAATTTTAAGAGACGAGACATCATCGTCATATCCGAGTGGAAGAACATACTTACTATCCATGATTATGAGAAAGGAAAAGTTATATCATATCAAAGTGAATGATATAACTTGGATTTTAAAATCAACAAAGCCTCACTCAACACCCAAGTGGAAAATATCTCACACCACTACATATCGTAGAAGTATAGTAGCTCACATCACTACAAGAATCGACAAGGGTCTAATCTTTTTGAGAAAAAGTTTGTTTTTAAAAGTAAAAGCCAAAGTGATAAAATTGTTTGAATGAGTTTGATTGATTTTTAGTCTTCTCACACACAAAAAATGTCAAAGTATGATTAAGTTGGTTAAAGTTTGATTAAGAAAATATTTTTAAAAATGCATGGACCTAAGTCCAAGTTTATTATGAAAGTGGTTTAAGTTAGAAAACAAGAAGAGGTTTGAAAAGGAGTGAGAAGATTTTTGAAATTAAAGAAGATATGGAGAGATGAAGAGACTATCCTAAAGCATAAGTTAAAAGTTAAGGAAAAGAATGATCTAACCAACAAGAAGCCAACACTTGCCATAAAGAGACAATGTAGAATTTCTATTCTTTGGATTGAAACCAAGAAAGCAAAAATACTAAAACTCTTAGGAATACCAAGCTTCTGATTAAGTCTTCACAGAAGAATTCTCAGTCACAAACAAAGCATATAATCAGAATAACTTGCACACAAAGAAAATCAACCCAATGTCTTGGAGTAAACCCCAAGAACTTTAGACAAAATAACAACAAAATCACAAGGTCCCAAGGGTAGTCGTCATGGCTTCTAATCCTAAGTCCAAGAGGTTCATAACTCGATTATGCCAAGGATAGTAACCAAATAGTCCAAGTAACCTTAAAGTTTTTTAATGTTCAAGTTGGTTATTAAGTGTCTTCAAATGAAAAGAAAGCTCAAGTGAACAAAATAAAAAGGACATAAAGATATATGCTTAAATGAGCAAAGATAAACTGACATAAAGATAAATGCTCAAGTGAGCAAAGATGAAAATCGCATGAAATGTAACTGCTAAAGTAAATGGTACATAAAAGTAAAGGCATAAAATAAAGGGAATAAAGTAAAAGCACAAAGTAAAGTCAATTATTAGTGAATTAGAAGTTAAAGGTTAGTTGAATGACCATCTTGAAACTTACATTTGAAAACTCATTAGAACATTGATAAAATCAAAGCTTCTGAACAACAAGTTTCATTTGCTTTTTGTCAAGTATATAATTCATTTCAAGTACTCAAGGCAAGCATATATGATTAACGATGTTTAAATGACTCACTTAGACCAAAATTCATGAAAGTTCATTAGAGGACTGATAAGGTCAAATCCTCCTAACAATGAACCTCAAGATTATTGGATCAAAGGTTTCAAATTATACATACTTGAGCTTGCAAATATAGGTTTGAGCCACAAATGATCATTTTTTAAATCGAGACAATTTTAGCATTATATTAAGCAATCGTAAGTGGACTCATGTAGAAGTCACACCTATTTTGAGGCCGGTCAATAGCAATTTATGTACCACATGTTAGAGAAATAATATATATATCATTCTCCAACAACAAGTAGCACAAGTAAGAAAGGGATAAGATGAAGAGGGATGAAGTGTATCAGATGAAATTAGGATTTCAAATATCATCAACATCATTCATCCATTTTAATGGATTTGATTTTTTAACCTATCAACACCTAAGATCCAATGAGGTTGAGGAACTTTCCCAAAATAACACCCAAATCAGGACCAAACAAAAATAATAGTTAATAAAACAATATTTAAAATGATTAATAAAAGGGAAATAATTGGTAAAATACACAAAGTATATTAAAATACTAAATAAAAATCCTAAAAAAATAGTCAGAGGTAAAACATGAGTCAATAAGTGTTGACAAAAAATTTCAGAATTTTTTAAAGTCAGAAACTATTTTTAAAATTTAGAGAAATAAGCAAAATAAACCAAAATTTGTGAAAAATAGTAAAATCGGAAATAACAATAAAATGAGGTCTCCAATATTTGTCAAGAGGTCATTAGATCCTTCCATATTTTTTCAAGAACTTAAAAATTAAGAAAAGTATTTTTAAACAATTAGAACAATTTAAATAAAGTGAAAAATGATGAAAAATACCAAATCATAAAATAAAATTGTGAAAAATAAGAATCAGAAAGAGAAAATCAAAAGTATTTTTGAGGATTTTTTTTCAGAATTTTAGAAGTTG